CATCCATCCATCCATCCATCCATCCATCCATCCATCCATCCCATGTCTCTACAATTACATGGTTTTGTATTCTGTGTGTTTGAATCCAGGCTGTCCAGTTTCTGCACAAGCTTTACCTGCAGGTGACAGTGGATATATTTCTCATAGACTGGGAGAGACCCAAGAGCAAAGGGAACAGGACAGTTCAAGGTACCAACATGGTGGATCTGCTTTCCTTGCAAACCAGTTATTCAGGGGTTTTCCTCTGTTCAGCTTAATCTGGGTTGTTTCAGCTCACGGGGAAACTAAACGCGACCCCTCCCCAGTCAGCATCTGGAGGACTTACTTTGTGGCGAACGAGTGGAACGAGCTTCAGACCATTCGAAAGATCAGCCCAACTTTTCAGATCATGGCTGTGCTCTTCTTTCTCGAAGTACGTCTTACATTTATGTGTTCTGTTTGAAGGAACGCTTACAGAATAAATCCAATTTCCTCATGTCTTATATCCAATTTTGTGTTAAGGTCCTGGATTTCTCCAACCTAGCTCTAAGAGACCCCATGGCAACTTTACAGCGCTCCCCAGAGGCGTACACCCCTCCTTACAGCCTGATTTTGCGCTATGGCCTTGCAGCCACGCTTTGGCTCTGCATTGGCCTTCTGCAGGTAAATGGGCCTTTCAGGTTTTCAAGTTGATTTTTCAATCCAATTGATTTACTGTTTCGATTGATTTTTTTTTTAGATTCAATAACTGACACTAATATTTACATTTAGGTGATATTCTTCACTGTCTTTTATGAACACTTTGTGGAGGACAAAATGCGTCAGTTTGTGGATCTCTGCTCTGTCAGTAATGTAAGTATGCAGCCATCATTTTGTCTTACTTTTTTTTAACATTTATTAATGCGTCACATAAATGTCCTTTCTTTCTTACTCTGCAGATCTCTGTGCTGCTGTTCATCAATCGCTGTTTTGGTTACTACATCCACGGACGCTCAGTGCATGGACACGCAGACACAAACATGGAGGAAATGAGTAACAACCTAAAGAGAGAAAGTGTATGTACAGCTACAGATCTTTTGAATGTCCTATACTTTTTAAAATTAATTCTGGTACCTCATACAATTTCAGCATTACAGATGAAGTTGCTCCCAAGAAGCCAATCTTTCTTTGAATCCTCCAAACTGTTCTCAGTTGGCTTCATTTACTTCAGACGCTCTAAAGGAAAAGTCCAGTCATTTTTGGAATTCAAACTTCTGAAAGTACTTTAAATATAAAATTATTAAATAATGTTTAGTAAATCATAAGTGTTTTTAATTAATAGTAATTTTCATTTGAATATGCTTTACTGGAGGCATCCGTGTTTGTCAAAGAACACTACTGCCACCTACTGGTTTGTGACGTCACTGTGCGGTATCTGCTGTTGAGCAAGTTCCAGTGCTGGATCTGATGTTTTTCACAACGCCAAGTATTAAGTATTAAAACATGTGCACAAAATTGTTGGTAATCGTCATTTAATGGAGAAAAAAACCCCACAAGGGTCACAGAAATAATTTCAATCTGAGAAAAGCAATAATAACTAAAAAAGTCTATTAGAATGTACAAAGGAAAGTCAGACACTTCTTTTCAACCATGCATCAACAGAATGATTTTAAAGAATAAACTCACAAAACAGGTCTGGACAACAATGATGGTTCACCTAGAAAAGACAAAATAATGTCACCAAAGGAACATGTTAAATCAAGGTTTGGTCATTAGCATCACAAGTGTCTTAATAATCTTGTAATCAGTCAACAGGTGAATATTTAAGGCCTAATTACAGACAAGCATGTTAAATGTAAAGGCTATAAGACCGTCTTCAAGCAAATAGAATCTTCCTGTCACTACAGTTGAACATATTATTCAGAAATATCCATCTTCTAATCTCCTGAGCAAACTTCCTTAGCTTCCTCATGTTCATGTTAAGTGTTTTACACAACATGTCCCCAAACAACACAGTGACATATCGTGTTTTATAGTGACCTACATATTGGTCAGCTGACAAATTACAAGGTTGGAGACACCTGTGATGAGTGGAAACAATCTGATTTAACACGTCCCTTTGGTCACTGTCTTCTGCTGTCTTTAGGAGTCGCTGTGCGGCCAGCGAGGTTTGGTTCCCAACTCGGACATTCAGACCTTTCAGGTGTCCATCACCAACCGTCTGAGATTGCAGTATGACAGGATACAAGATTCTATCAGCAGGGTATGTGCTCCCCTCTGTCATCTTTGTTCAACTTTAAAAAAACAAAATCTTCCACTTACTGTTAGAGGGATTAAATTTCTCTGCTTCCAGAGGAACAGGCCATCAAGGCTGATGGATGCATCCACGGCCAACTTATCAGATCTACAGTTCAGAGCATACAACACCATGAACCATTTCCTGGGATCCATCATAGACCATGTAGGTACAAACATCCATAAATTAGCTCATTGAAGCTGTATTCGGCCTTGGAGTCTGGCTGACCTGATTGCGTTTTTGTTTGTTTTGTAGATAGGTTTTATTTGACAGAAATCTTTTTTTTCTCCCTCATTCTAAATTGTTTGCTTTAGGGCCATCCTGACATGGACTACATGGTGAAGGAAAAGCTGACTTTGGAGCGCGTCATCGGAATGGAGTTTATGGAACCCTCCGATAAAAGCTACTTTTATAATGGTATCAAACTCTCCTTGTTTGCTTTGTTGGTTGATGCGTGTTTTTGTATGTCTAATGCACTTCTCTCTCTCTCTCTTGTCTGCAGATCAGGCTCACTCCTTTAGTAATGTCCTGTTTTATGGAAATGAGGCCACGCTGCTGATCTTTGACACTTTGTTCTTCTGTGTTGTTGACCTGGGATCCCAGAACTTTGTGCTGGCAGCGGTGCTCACATACGTACAGCAAATGGTCAGTGTTTGATATATCTGCCGTATCTTATCTTCATCAAAGTTAAAAAAAAGGCACATTAGACCACAATGTATTTGTGTATTACAGATATTCCGCTTCATCCGTAACACTCTTGGGAGGCGGAACCTTGCCAACAAAACACTGGTGGATCAAAGATTTCTGATATGAGCTCCTGGGTCTTTTATTCGTTAAGAAGATGTTTATTGTTCACTTGTGCTTCTTTTCTTAAAGTTATGTATTTGGAAATATTTACATGCTTTTATACTGAATAAAGTGTTTTAATACAAAATCAAGCTCAACTTCTGTTTTTAAATCACAAATAAATTTAAATCTCTTTCAAACTATTTCTTTATGTTACCATAAAGCTCACTGGAGACTTGCATCAAATGAAAACCCTCTACAGGTATGATGTAGACACACATTTACAAGAGAATGACACATCCATGAGCAAGTACTGTAACTTATAAATAAATGTTAATAAAACATTACTAGGTGTATAATCATCAAATTAGGGCTCAAAGTTTTTATGCATAAAATAACTATTTACTTTTAGTCGAATAATTCAGGGATGTTTGTGTTTGAAATATGCTCCATATCATTTTAAAATTCAAAGATAGTGTTACCTTAAAAGCATTTTTTAAGCATTATTTTATAGTACAATTGTCATAAAGGTACGGAAGAGGATTGGGGCCACTGAAAAAATAAAAAAAGTTAACTGATTTTTAAATATTTCAGTTTAATATTGGGAAAAAAGTCTGAATTTACTCTCAGAATTCTGACTTTTTTCTTAGAATTCTGACTTTAATCTCAGAATTCTGACTGAATTCTGACAGCTAACAAACATGTAAGCATCAAGCTGTAGCCATGTCTGTTTTAGAGACTAGCTCTCTTGTTTTAATCACCTTCTGCTCTTCCACTGATGAAATAGCATCACTGAGGATCCCTCAGGCATGAAAAAAGTCACCTATTTTTGTAATTTTTCACCAATGTGTTACTGGCTCTCCCAAACAACTCACATCTTTTTCAATGAAGCTGAGTGCTCACACCATAGATATCCATATGGCTCACACACCTCTTCCTTCATGGTTCCCATCTATATTAAGATCTAAAATTCTGAGATTAAAGTTAGAATTCTGATAAAAAGGTCAGAATTCTAAGATTAAAGTCAGAATTCTGATAAAAAGGTCAGAATTCTGAGATTAAAGTCAAAATTCTGACTTTAATCTCAGAATTTTGACTTTAATCTCAGAATTCTGACCTTTTTATCAGAATTTTTCTCATATTATACTGATATAAAATTAAAAAATCTGTTAATTTTTTTTTCTCTTCCTTCTTGGTGCCATCTACATTAACATCCAAAATTCTGAGATTAAAGTCAGAAATCTGAGAAAAATGTCAGAATTCTGAGAAAAAGTCCGAATTTTGACCTTTTTCTCATAATATACTAAAATGAAATTGAAAAATCAGTAAACTTTTTTTTTTTTTTTCTGTGGCCCTAATTCTCTTCCGTATAAAGGTTAAGTTCTAAATATATTATAGGAGTTTCACTTATAGCGTAGCTTTTGACACGTAGTGAGCGCGGGAGGCCTGACGTCACGGCGTAGATTCACGCACAACCAATCAGGATTCAGTTTGAGGTGCGGCGCTTTGGAGTAACAAACTGAAGGGGTTGGGTTTAAGTCATGAACTTAAATACATACTTCACATCTTTCAGTTAAGGTAAGAGTATATTTTTTCCGACTTTGTTCTTTTCACCCTGACCTCTATAAAGTAGTATTTAACGTACCTGAGATATTTACGTGTCGTTTAAGAGGAGTAGTTTTAGTCGAACGTTGGTGGGTGTAACCTGCTAGCATAGCGTTCATTTATGTGCTTATGTGACTGAGTAGGTTTTAATCTGTAAGAGTTTATTTAAACATCGTTTTATATCATGTCGTGTCAAAGTGTAATGCTGCTGTTGCTTATATGACGTTGGCCAGTGCCTCCTCTCTGTCTGTACCTGTTTTGTAATTAGCTAAAGCTAACGATATCAACAAACAAGTTGCAGAGATGGGACACGGTCCTGTGTGTTCTGTTTGAGTCATGGAGATTTATATTTTACGGTGGTTATTAGCTATAATTATTTACATGAACAAAAAGGGGCCATCTGATGTAGCAACATCTACTAAAATGGCCCAGATGAAAACAAAAACAATTAAGTAGCCTTGCTGCATTGGGTGTTTTCTTTTTAGTCAGCTGCTTTGACACATGGGAGCAAGGTATTTCAAAGTCATGGTTAGGCTTGAGTTTTCTTGGCCAGAGGTAGCCCTAACTTCCAGAGGAACAAATGCCAGTACTGGGTTATTTTTAACACCCACAGCTGACCTATATATGCAGAAGTCTGCATGGCTGCCGCTATAACAGCTACTGCTCCTCCAATTCAAAGTTTTAATTTTGGTTACCAAAAATGCCTATATGTAAATACTAATAGACCTTCCCCTCACTCTAATGTTATCCTGGGTTAGAGTTACAAAACAGTTTTTTTTTCTTTTTCTTTTTTTTCTGTAGTTTTGTGGTATATCTGACCAGAGTTGTCTTTGCTTGTATCACACGCAGCTTACACATGTAGCAGCACACTTCCCGTCAGCTGGCTGAAAGAATTCAATGCTTTCCCCTTGATTCTTTAAATACCAATCCAACTTTTTGGAATTGTTTCCTTTTCTTGAAAACAAGCAGTTGTGATAAGGAACCTAAAGAAGTGAGACCTTCATGTTAAAAAATTTAAATACTACTGTAGGCCCACTGTTCGGGCAGATAGCCCAACTAAATGCATTAAAAAAACTTATTGCATAGTGAGATCTTTTATATGTTTTGCTATATTCTCTTCATCACTGATTATTTAAATTTTAGATAACAGTTGTAAAGTGTTAGAGCTGTAGTAATCGATGTAATAAATTTGTATTTAAATCTGTTTGTTTTGTTTTCCAAAACAGGTTACATAAATAGATCACATTTTTTAAATTGCTGCAAACAGAATGGGGTGTATGAGCATTGTGTGTATGCTAGATAAAAAGATCTATACTAGATAAAACATCTATGGATAGCTCAGATATACCCTTCATCTCCCCTTCATCGTATTTTTCATCTCTGGTGTTAGATTTCCCTTTAGTATGGTTTCGACCTTAAACTGTTTTAATGATCAGAAATATTCTGAGCTGTATCAGCTGTAAAATATTATCCCTATGACTCATTATTTATTTTATTTTTTTTTACATGCAGGATTGCTTGTATCCAGGAAACGAAAATGTGGTTAATCAACAGCCTTTTCAAACCATTAACCTGATATGATCTAATGTTTACGAGTGGGTGTACTTTTAGGAATTGACGAACAACAAATAGTTTTCATACACAAATCAATCAGCTCATTTTTCTTTGACTGACCCTGATACTTAATAATCTGATTTGGTTTTTTTTTGTGTGTTTTTTTTTTTGGTTTTCATGAGGTAAAAACTACCCCCTACCACTTTGATTTAAAAATATATCAGTCAATGTCATAGTTTGATGGAAATCATATAAAAGTTCAGGGAATTTGCATAAATGTTTTCAAAATTTTAGCTTCCATCAGATAACCTTCCTTTTTTGTACTCCTTGGTTTCAGTCCCAGACAAAAATTAGCCGATCCGACTGAAAAGAAAACAATATCAGCCATAAAAGTCTGATCAGTATATAGACACAATTATTCAGTTGGTGCATTTGAAGATTTCTGAATTTCAGGCTCAAAGTTGTTTGTTTTGTTGACTCTGTTCGTATTACCTCAACCTTATCGGAGAAGATCTGCTTGTTTGCACAGCATTTGCTCAATGGTGCAAACATAGAACACTCTGTTCACTATGGGTGCATATGCCTGAGCTCGTAATGTGCTTCTTCATCAGGTGTGTGCACATCGGGGGTGTTTTGATTACCTGCGGTGCATGGTCAGCGATGCCTGTTACATCCCAGTTGCTCAGGGCTTTGCCCCGTGCCAAGGTCTTTGCCAGCAGTCTGTTACCATGCCAACATCACCAGTCCCACATTGGTTCCCTTCCAGCCCTGACAGGGCCGTCTCACACGTGGCTTACACATCGGGCAGGAAGATGCTATCAGACGTCCTCTGTGTCCCACAATTACATCCTGTCCCCCCCGCAGGTCAACTCCATTCTCAAAGCCAATGAGTACAGCTTCAAGGTTAGTGTGGGTGGGGTTATGCTTCATCATCCGTATGTTTACATTCTCATTTGTCCCTTTGTTTCTTCTGATCTGGTTCCAGGTACCAGAGTTTGACGGGAAAAATGTGTCATCTGTGATGGGTTTTGAAAGCAACCAACTTCCGGCCAACGCACCCATCGAGGATCGCAGGAGTGCAGCTACTTGCCTCCAGACTCGTGGAATGCTCCTGGGTGTGTTTGATGGACACGCCGGCTGTGCCTGCGCACAGGTAGATCTCTGCAGCTTTACTGCTGTAGTTTGGGAGTTAAATCCCGTTTTCTTTTTCAAAGGGTTATTCACACATTGATAACTGTTTGTATGATGATGTCTTTAGTTTAAAGCTAATATGGACATTTTCCAAAACAGGTCTTATTTATCTTTCCTTTCAATCTGTTTATTTTCCAGGCTCATTTTATCACAGTCTGATCATCGTTAACAATTCTGCTTCAATCTCAGAGTGAACTGTTTTACTTATACATAAAATTGTTCTGGAAACATCTGGAAATTTGACATTGAATGTTTAGGAATCCCAGAGACTAAATTTAATTGATTTGTGTTGTTTTGTTTACCTCTCGGAAACTTTTGCCTAAAATTTCCCCTAAGAACTAATTTCGTCATTTCTCACTCCAGGCACTGAGTGAGAGGTTGTTTTACTATATAGCGGTTTCACTGCTCCCCCATGACACCTTGTGTGAACTAGAGGCTGCGATGGAGGCCGGCAGAGCCCTCACTCCCATCCTGCAGTGGCATAAACACCCCAATGACTACTTCAGCCGGGAGGCTCAGAGTCTCTACTTGAACAGCCTGAGAACCTACTGGCAGGAGCTGATTGACCTAACCAGGTGAGAATTCACCTTAACACACCCTTATGATATTGTATCAAATAACAATATTTTTAATCTCAGTGAAGGCTTTTCTCAAATATATGCACTGGGATGCATTATTACCCCTTAAACATTTCCACATTTTATCATGATTCAAGCACAGACTTCAGTTAGTTTTACTATGGCAGTATTATAGGGTACACCAATAACATTAAATTTAAGATGTTGCCATGGCATGAGCCAATGTGACGTTTATAATGTAACCTTTAGTAAAATGTTTCAGTATTTGGACCAAAATGTAACACATAAGGTATAATACCCATTTGTTTTTATTTAAAGCATCCTCTCAGCTATCTCAAAGCTTGTCAAGGGCATGTGTGCTTCTCGGCGCATTAGAAAAATCACCTAAACCTTGATTCGTTTTTATTTAGTTTTGGTCATATTTGTTTCCTATAAAGCCTCCATTAATGTCCGCAGATTCCAGTAATTCAATTCAGGCGTCAAGTATTGACTGGCAGGGGTTTACCCTCCTTGTGGAGGAAGACTGTGAGCGCCTGCTGGACTAACTGTCCAATCACTAGTTTTTCTTTTATTTCTAATGTTTTTAGGTTTTTTTTCCTTCTGAGGCGTATTGGTTGTGAGCCTTTAACATCCAGATTCAGAAGTGAAGTCATCAAATATGTCTCTTCTGTTGTCTGTTTTGAAAAAAAAAAAAGGTGACAGTGACCCCTACATCCTTAGTGTCTAGCCTTTCTAGCCTCTACACGGCAGTCTTACAACATTATCCAGGTTTTATTTCTATAAACTCGGTTCAGCCTCGCTGATCCTCCTGTAGGAGGGCAGCATACAGCCTAATGCCATGTTCACACTCCACGCGATTGAAGTAGCCAATTTACATGCAAAGTTTATGGTTAGCGCGCATCAACAGGTCATGCAGCACGTCTAGAGCAGTACATTTTGAGGCATCTTGACGGAGCTGAAGCTTAACCATCTGAGGTGTGTGAGGTGCTTCACTAGCAGCAGCTGCTGGAGTTGGAAAAATTAAACTTTTGCTGCTCGACGCGCCACATCAACCAATCAGAGAAGCGGATCTGAGGCTGGCAGGAAGACAGACACGGTGCTGCTGATGCAGAATCCTATGATCTCTCCCCTGAAACAGTTTATTAATTCCAAAATTAACTTTAAAAATATGTTCACTTTAATTATGCTGTTGTCCGAAGTTTGTACAATTGTACTTCCAGCTGCCACGAACTGTAGGGAAAACCCCCAAGAGGCGGCAGCTGCTGGGGATTTCCAGTGACGGAGCGCCGTCGTTATGTGGGGGTATGAGTGTCTCCGACAGAGAAAAGATATTTTAAGGCAGGATCATAATCTTAATGAACTGAATGCACAGACGATGTTTTCAGGTATAGTTTCTCACTTAAAATTATATTAAAACTACTTTTTACCATCTTTTCACAGCAAATATAGCAAAGCCGCTCCCTGCTATTGAACTCGGGAGCATCAGACGCAGCTGTGCATACTTTACTGGACGCAATTCAGGAGCATCAAATGCTCTTGAGGCTCGTCTCACCTGTTAGGTTTATTATTTATACATCATGTACATTGTTATTCTGTTAGCCAGATTAGACAGAGTAGAAGGCCTTCCGTCACATTGTGGATGTCACTGTGTGTACGGAGGTCATCTAATCAGGACAGCCTTCGTGTCTTTAAAAATACACAGGATATGGGCACTTCTTGGAGCCGGTCTGATAGAGGAGAGCTATCTGTACGCTGAGGCATAGAGGCAAGCTGCATGAAGTTCAAGACATGGATGGCGTGTCAGTTTCTGATACGGACAGCTAAACATCAACATGATGCAACACATAGACTCATGAGCTATAAGAAGCAGGGGATGACCTTGTTCGGGGCTCAATCTTTGCCGGACGCTCGCGAACGTGATTTTTGAGCCCATAGCTGTGCAAACTCCAAGCATTTTCTCTGTCCTGTCCTGATCTGGAATAAACTCTGTTATTTTTACTCCTGTTTTATAGTCCTTTTTTATATGTTTTACCCAGTTTGAGTTAAGAGTAGCAAATAACTTGCTCCCAGCAAAAACACCGTGAGGAAGCCCCCGAGACGCAACAGCTTTTTTAGGGGACATAACTTCCTCGTTTAACACACCTTTACTTGTACAAGCATCAAATATGAAGCAGCAGGTGCTTTTTGCTGCTCAAAACATGTCGGGTATGAACGTAGCATAATGCTGCTGCCATACATGCAGGGCTGAACTTTTAGCTATGGTCTTGTCTGGCCAAGAGAACCGTACTCCACATGTTCACTATTCCCTTTCTTCATTGGTTCCCCTACCCTGGTCCAAAGGCCTTCCAGTCTTACATGTTTCTGATGTGTCCTCCATTGAGCAGAACGGATTTAAATCCCCATTTAGTTGAATTGGGTGTTGACAGCAGGTAATACACCCAAACTTACAGGTTCATGACTCCTGAGGATGTGTGTTGGAGACCTCTCCAACTCCTTATGGCTTTCCTTCAATCATTTCTATCTTCTGTATTCCTTAAAGGCCACATATGTGCTGTCCAAAACGAGTTGTTGCCATTTTAACAAACTTTTAACAAACGGTCAGTCACTGCAGCTCTTGCAGAGTTGCCACTCTTGACTGCTTCGCTGATCAGCACTTATCTTCTCCTTCCTGTCAATGGATGGCTGCCATGTTTTGATAGGTGGTTGGTTTTGTCAGTTTTAATTGACCAATTTGCAGAAGTCCTGAAGGGGATGTGTTCCCAAAGACTTGCTGCTGTAAATGCAGTCTAAGGTATTTTAACAAAATGTTGACTGTGTGGTTGAATTTAAATAGATCTACATTTGTGGTTGTAACATATCTATATTTTTGCAGTACATTGATTTACCAATAATTTTTGGCCGTCCTCATCAGACAGATTAGTGGAAGTGCATGTTTCCATTGTTCAGGGTAAAATCTTTCAAACAGGACCCACCAGTTTCTCGTCCTGCTCTTTGTAGAAGCAACATGCCCAGAGCAACACTGACCCTTCTGCTGTTGGGTTTGCTTGACCTCTCTGCTTCCTCTGCATCTATTTTACACAGATCAATCTCTGTCCGTCTCTTTTTAGCCCAGGTGAGGTTCCAGACACTCGTGAGGCCCTTTTGAACGCCTTCAAGAGGCTGGACAATGACATTTCTCTGGAAGCACAGGTAAGAACAATAAAAGAACCAAGTTGGATGCTTTTCCTTTTTATATTTATTTAATTTCCCTTTGGGATTAATAAGTATTTTTGAACTGAACAACATCGGCTGCTTAAGATCACCTGTTTTGCTGACCACTGCTGCCAAGCAGCATTCATAGAAACTCTAGTTACAGGTTATGTCATAAGTCTAGAGTGTCAAATTCTAGGAAAACCTCCATCATTAAAAGTCATTAAAGCATCTATCTGTCAGGAGCAGCAATGTTAGGAATGAAATCATCCGCATTTAACTTTAATAGACCAGAGGTGTCACTTTCATCTCCATGTGAGATAAACTTGCCAAGATGTCCTAGTTTGGTTTAATGATTTTTCCTCTCTTACAGGTTGGAGACTCAAATGCGTTTCTGCACTACTGGGTTCTGAGAGTGGCCTTTTCTGGAGCTACAGCCTGCGTGGCTCACATCGATGGACCTGACCTGTACGGAGAATAGACATTACAATAAATTGTGCAGGCAGTTATTCCTATATAGCTTAAATCTATACCCTTCCTCTCTGCCTATTGTTTAAGCTATATAGCCAATGCAGGGGATGCTCGAGCTGTGTTGGGGGTGCAGGAGGAGGACGGTTCGTTCAGCGCTCACACGCTCTCTTACGACCACAGCGCTCAGAACGAGAAGGAGGTTGCACGGATACGAAGTGAGCACCCTCATTCTGAGAGGAAGACCGTCATTCGTCAGGTAATTCGTTGAAATAATACACTCTATGTCCTGGTTTAAAAGAATAGTAAAAAATAATCAATTTAAACTCCTGCCTTTCATTTACTTCCGCCCACTTTAGGACAGATTGCTTGGTTTGCTCATGCCGTTCCGTGCATTTGGGGACGTTAAGTTTAAGTGGAGCATCGAACTACAGAAGCGCGTTCTGGAGTCTGGACCTGATCAACTTCACGAGAACGAGCACACAAAGTTCATCCCTCCTAACTACCACACACCCCCCTACCTGACCGCCGAGCCAGAGATCACATACCACAGGCTGCGGCCACAGGACCGCTTCTTGGTAAGAGGACAACTGCTAGAGTTGGAGCACAGGCCAGTTGGGATTTAGGCATTCGCTAAGATCGTCCTGCATTAATTCCTTCATGAGACCGTTTAATTAATCCATGCATATATTCAATCATGAATTCATTACACCTTTATTTATGCATCCAGTTATGCATTTCATGGATCATGCCTTCCTTTAGTCATTAATTTATTCATTTTTTAAGGTGGACCAACCTATGTATACCTGCTCTAAGTGAAAAGTATTGTTACTTATTATCATTTAAACAAGGAAGGTGACCCTCCATTATCCCAATGATAGTAATTGTATTTATATAATGCACAGGAAAACAAAAAGAGTTTGCAAACAGTTTTTCAGTTTCAGTATCTTGCTGATCAAACCAAACCCTGTAAATCTAATACTGCGATCTTCCTCCCTCGGCAGGTGATTGGCTCAGATGGTCTCTGGGAGACCCTCCACCGGCAGGAAGTGGTCCGTATCGTCGGCGAGTATTTGACAGGGGTTCACCAGCGTCAGCCGCTCAAAGTGGGAGGCTACAAGGTGACTCTGGGACAGATGCAGGGTCTGCTAGAAGAGCGAAAGGCCCGAATGTCCTCAGCCTTCGAAGACCAGAACTCGGCGACGCACCTGATACGGCACGCGGTGGGAAACAACGAGTTTGGCACGGTTGACCACGAGAGGTTGTCGAAGATGCTGTCGTTGCCCGAGGAGCTGGCTCGAATGTACCGCGATGACATCACCATCATCATCACTCAGTTCAATCCTCATGTGATTGGAGCACAGAGACAGGAGGAGTCATGAGCTACTCCAAAGTTATTTCCTGATTATTTCTTTTCTACTGACTGTTTTTCAGTAGTGCACCACAGATTTAAAAATGGAGAACACAGGATGCTAACACAACAGGCCATATAATATATCTGCCTAAGTTTTTTTAAACACTATTTATGGCATGCAGCAAAACTGACAGCTTTTTATGGTTTTAAATTAGTCAACAGGTAATCAGATCAACTTGCCGTTTTTTTTTTTTGTTTTTTTTTTTATATCCCTGCAAGTCTTGTTAAGCAGCCATTTTTATACACATCGGTGTCTATTGGTTTTATTTTCACTTTAGAACCAAAATAGCTTTATCCTTTCTGTCTGCCGAAACTCCTCTGGGGGAGAAGAATGGAGCAGTTCTGGTCAACAGGCCCGACTTTGAACCAGGAAGCTGCTGGTTTGAGATTCTCAGGGCAAACTAGTTACCAACATCTCAGTTTTTATGGTATCACATGACTGACTCCCAAATTTAATGCTAAGACGCTCCACATGATCTAATAACAGACGCACTGATGTGACTTTTTTTCTTGGCAGATACCGGTTTTCATTTTTCTTTAAGGTTTGACCGGCAGACTAGCAGCTACAACTGTTATTTTCACTGCTGCATAAATGACATAACTTTAACTGTTACAACCATAGTGATGTACATACGGCTTATTTATGGTTTTAAACATACTAGTTTTCTGATGTTCTTTGGGCCAAATGTTACACTTTTCTCTTCTTAATCGACTTACAACATATAACAAGCTAAAGTTAGTTAGCTAGTCGGGCTGTAAGACACACTGCTTTTAGCTTGTTAGCTGTAGTTATAAAACCGTGGTGTCTTGATTATAAGTGATGTTTAGTGAAGCTTAGCGACTCTCTGTCAGCCACCTGACCAACTTTAGCAGTCAGCTAGTTTCGGTCACCCCAGCTCCTCCGGGTTCTTTAAGAACCACAGGAAGGCTTAAGGAGAATGTTTGCAGTTTTGTAACCAGGGCGTTTAATTCCTTGGTTCCTTTAAACCATTAACTGCTCCATGCTTAATTTACTGGTTTATAGCACTTTTTTCTGCTTCTCTTTTCACCTCAAAGCTAAGTTACATTCTTTTTGTTACAAAGACTTTTAGAGATGTTTTAGTCCAGGTAGCTGGTTGGATGTTGATGGGATGTTCATGGCTGCTGCTCTTTAGGTGGAAAACGAATTTGTCTGTTCAGGATAATGAACTTTCAGTTTATTGGGCAGCACCTTGGGCATTAGAAACTGGGAGAGGTTGCACAAAATACTTTACTGGTTTAAACATGAAGTAGTCTAATATTTTAGCTCACAACTTGATATTTACATAATCTGAAGAGAGCAAAGCACAAAACTTGTTTTCCTCTGATATCTGCAGCTTTATTTTCTCTGACGGCTGCATTTCTTTGCTTGGAGAGGCGCTATGAGGGGAGTTATTTTCCTCTTATGTAAGAGCAGAGGGTGTGTTCATATAACCAAGCAGATGCAGTCGCTAAGCTCCACTCCCCTGCTTCTTTCTAAACATAAGGGTCAAGGAGCTGCATTAGTTATTTCTTTCGACAGCTTATTACGAGTTTATTTTACTCCTGGATTTTTCACTTACTCGTAATCAATGGTTGCTGCTGTGTATAACGTTGGTATTTATGATGGATGTGTGTTTTTAAAAGGAGGCTGTTTCAACATCAAATATTTATTGTGCCTCAGCAGCATGTTACACATCTTCTCTGTTGTATGTATAAATTGTAACTTATGGGGGTTGGGTTTTGAATGGGGAATAAAATGCTGAACAGACATCTTCCTGTGAAGGTTTCTATTATTTATTCCCTTGGTGTTTGCAGGACATCCAGCTGCCCCAGAAACCCCCTAAAGGTCATGTATCAGGATCCAGGGTGTATTTGGAGATCATTCTCACCACAAGATGGTGCCGCTGGACCAAACAACAGCCTCAAGCCCCTTATAAAAAATAATCAAATCTAAACAATAAAAATGCTCTATTTTGTAATCATTCAGTGAAATATTTATAACCAGTATATATTATGGCAGTTCATATCGCCAACTAATGTTAAAATATTTCAAAATGTCTTACCTACTTACCAAATAATGCTCAATCTTACAGTCATTATACAGCTCTGAAAGGATTTTTAAAAAACATTTCTTCTAAGAATGAGTTCCACCTTTTTATTTATTTTGAAGGAAGGAAGATGTCCTTTTTTGTAAACCTTAAGTCCTTTACAAATATGATCTAAATAGCAGAACAGGATTTGATCCAGATGAAAAATTTGTGAATATTTTATTTATCATTCAAAAAAGTACACAACTTAAATGTATAGGGGACCAAATAAAAGCAACTGTTATCCAAGTATTAGTAATAAACGGGTCCAATCAAACCTAAATGAAGTTCTGTTCTAAATGATCAGATTCTGGGCCGAATTTGTTTAAAGTTAACCTGAAGGTGGCGTCTTAAACTCCAGTTTTCGTTGGTGTGTCCTGCAACATTTAAATGCATCTCTAGTCAATGATATCTAAATGCGATCATCATTTTATTCATGTGTTTTGAAGCAGAACTACTTTTAAAGAGTGAGGGAAATGAGACCGTGACCTAAACCATCCCGGCACAAGGATCGAACCCTTGGTTCTGGTACAGTCTGCTACTTAAAGTCTCTGAGATCATACGTCCACAGTTGTTTTATTTCTAAGCTTTCTGTGCCTTACAAAGATACTATGGAATCCACAAGCATGTCCTGTGTTATATTGGAACATAAACCCTAAAATACATCTCTAAAACCAAGTTGCGGAGATATTTCTTCTAGAGACTTTTTTTTAAAGACCCCCTTCTACCCTGTTTGCTGTGTGCCTACACAATTTTCACATATCTTTATTAGACACTTCCTGTTTTTAAAAACATTTTTAACAGGTTTAAGTGAGCTGGAATGTTCTGCAACCCTGTCCTGACCAGAGTAGCACAGATTTGTCTTATTTAAATAGCCTCCTCACTGGTCTTCCACATTTTAGGATAGTAGTAGTATAGTAAATGGGGCCTTACTCAGTTCAGATTTTTACCTTATAAAACTGGATAGATTATCAGTTGAATGTTTCTTGAATGTCTGATTCTGTCTTATTAATTTTACTCAAACTGCAATAGATGCGAGCCACTAAATAACTCTCCAAACAAATCTAATTACGGTAAAGGTAGATATTTTCAGCATTTTTAGTATTAGATAATGGCAAAGGTTTTCACATATCTTTAACCTCAGGGGGCAGTGTGTGTGAAGGGCATTGCACCAGATCCTTTCAATGAGCTCCTCAAGGCCGAGTGCTTGGCCCGGTTCTCCTTCCCTTGTACATTCTGCAACGCCTTTTTTAAGGTTATACTGACGAAACAGAGGTCAGTTCCTATCATCATCTCAATTCAAAAACAAGTGATTGTTAAATATTTCTGTTATGTAACGCTCTGTGATTATTATTTAGATATCAGTTCTTTGAGAAACCTTCAGCTGGTTTTACTTATAGGAGGTGCTGCCTTAGACCATCTTTCAGTATAAAATGCCTTTATAATGCTTCCAGGTTAAAAATAAAATTAAAAGAAGACTGATTGGTAAAGATGGACTGTGGCTCTTAGAAATGTCGTTCCAGTTTTCTCCATTCTTTGGATTGTTAATCATCTTTGCACTGACATCCTGTCAAAACCACCCAGCGCTGCTGTGTTTAGATGACATTCAGTTTGGTTTACTGAAAATAAACACCTCCGCTTTGTAATTTTACAGGCCCCGGTTACGCAGGCACTCCGACGTTTTCAGGAAGAGTTTGTGAGAAGAATGGCTGAGTGACGTTCTTTCTTACGTACTTAAACATCTCTGTGGAAATAAGATGTAGCTTCTGTAGTAAAAACAATGAACCATCCCACTTAATAAGATGACTCACCTGACCAAAAATATTCCAGCAGAGTTAAATTACATTTATCTAAATCATAATCTGGCAGAACTTATACTGCTTTATTACTCTACTATGAATTGAATTTTAGAACCACTTTAACTTTAAAATTGAGTTTCAAATAAATCTTAGTGATGTGGGAAAAATAAAATAATAAATGTACAGAATGTTTTGAAGTACTTTAAATGCAGGCTAGTGAGGCAGTTCAGCCATTTAATGAAAGTATGTAGGATAAAGGGGCACATCTGAATGTTGTAGGAGAGCGAACCTCCAGAATTTAAGTTTAAGACCATTACTCTAGATCAGCTGTTACCAACTCGGTGCCCATGGGCACCAAGGGGCCCTCAAGGACCACATGGGGTGCCCTCAATGTTTTATGAAAATAAAATCACCAGCAGGATAAGTTTTAAAAATGATTTTATTCTGTTGCTCTTCTTTTTAATCATTTATATAATTTCATCATAGTAATCATGTAGGACATTTTAGCATTTATAGAAATTTGAAAATGACAATATTTAAAAGAAAATTAGAAATTAAAAGTTAACAATAAAAATGTGTTTATTATGGATGAAGTTTAGGTGAACGCTGACCCCTCTTGTTCATAGGTCAGTATTGGTAGCCCTTCCTAGTAGCCATTAGCCATAAAATCGTTGACCACTGCTCTAGATCAAGGGTGTCCCAACTGTTTGTGTGCCGTCTAGTTTAAAGTACTCTAAGGTCTTAATCTTTTTTTTACTATTCAAAACAAATAATTTTATAGTGATTTTTTTCTATTGTTTGCTGGATGGCTAAGTCTGTGTGTCATCTAAACCAGATGTGTCTAAACCTTTCGCCATGGGGCCCAAAAATGTCTTGTTGAAAATACTCAGGAGCACAAAACATTTTTTTTTCTATTGATACCATTTTAAAATAATTTTATTTTTATTTTTAAATTTTTTTTTTCAAGTAGTTGATACTTGTAGATGGAATATCAACAAATCACTGTATACAAATAAAAAGTCTTCAGGTATGAAAAAAAGGATCAAATTGCTAAAAATGTTAAGGTTTAGTGTCTTAATTGTATTTTGTTTTTGGTTGATGAGCCAAACGAACGCTATATGAATGGGACTCACTCTTGGTTTATTTAGTTATGGTTTGATAAATAGGGTTTGATATATATATATTTGATTAATCAATTATTAATTGGATAGCAAAAGGTTACTTAAAGATGCCTTTTTATGAAATTAAACCATGTGAAAATAAAATGATTCCACTTGAGGAGTTCTGGATATTGACAAATGAAAAAAACTTTTTTAACTTAAATGCAAAATGCTTGATTGTGGTTGGTTGATCTGTCACCTAAAGGCACATTTTACAGTCTCAATTAATTGATTAGTTAATTAGTTTAATCCGATACATTTTTTCAACCCTAGTTCTAAGTCTGATATTCAGTTAAATTTCCTGGATGATTAGGGTCCTTTTTTACAATCAAATTAAAACAAACAAAATAATGGAAAGCTGGCATCAGGTACTTTATGTGGATCCTTACTCTGCCTAATTTAGGTTTTTAAATTTGTTATATATATTTAATTTTAAAGGGTCTCCTTGACATTTTATAAACATATTATATAATAAGCCAGCTATATTAAAACTATTCTTGAATTATTGTAAAGGGTCTAATGAAATTATCAGTGGACTGCTAATTGCCCCTGTGCCACACATGAGAGACTCTGGGTCTAAACAGTCCAAATGGTTCCAGTTAAACTCTCAGTAGATTCACACTTCAAAAAAATACCGTAATCAAAAGAATGAGACCTTTTTTTTTTTAAGACCATTGTTTCTTTCCTCAATTTGAACAAGTTAATGAGATAATCTGGCAATGGAATGAGTCATTTTGCACTTAAAATAGGATAACTAGATATTATGCACTTAAAAGACTATAATAGTGTGTTTTTTTCTCATTTTAAACATGAATATTCTTATTCCATTGGTGAATTGTCCTATATAACTTCTCAAATCATAGCAAAATAAACTTTACTTACCTATATTAAAATATTTGAAGAGCAAGTTTACATTTGAGATGGCTGGAATGATATAGATGTTTTTTTTTTTTTTCTGACTTGCTTGCTAAACATAAAGCTTAAGTGAAAATTCAATCTGGAAGACCTCATCTGGAAAACCTGCTGATGTTCCACATACAAGCTCCAGCCATTCGACATCCAGAAGGCCCCCTGTTTATGATCCACTTCATAAAGCTTTCCTCCCGCATACCAGCTGAATTTTCACCCACCTTATCTCCCCCATCACTCTCAGGCTGTTCTCAGTCCCAATCATCCTCCAGCCTATTCCGACCCCCCAGGGGAAAGTCTCCTCTCAAAATTTTCCTAAGCTATTTATCTAGATGAACTTCATTTCAAAGTCTTCTGCCGGGGTCTGAGCACTGGAAAGCCATTCATGTCAATAAAATCTTTCTAATTGCAACCTTTCTCTGTATAAATGTCTCCACATAAAATAATGTTATAAGCAGCGGATCATATTTCAAAATAGCCACAAGATGCAGATCTTTGCTGCATTTCTCCTAAAATGGAAAAGAACCTGTGTGTCACGTCATATTCCTTTTCCCAGGGAACAGGGAATATTGAACAAGAACACAATAGATCTTCCTTCAGTAACATCAGCTTTGTTGAAATTGTTGGAAGTCCTAAAAGATATCGCACTAATTAATTTGGTGTAATTATCTCTGGTGATGGATTAGTTTTGCTCTATAGAAAAATTACAAGCTTATCAGGGTGAGATTCTTAAACTTATTTTACTTTCCATGAGATCCTGTGAGTATAGAAGACATGGTTAAAGTAGAATAAAAAATAAAACAGAATCAGAAATACAATTACTAAAACTTGTGGTCTATTTATTTTTCCAGAATGTATTTAAACATATTTTCTTCCTACTTGGGTCCATCAGCTGTTACATTTATTTTTTTTTCTATATTTTTCAGATTTTTGCAAAGAAAAACAACCTAATTATCAAAATCATGAACAGATTCACAAAAACGTAACCAAGCACCAAAATAAAGCTGTATTGAACTTAAAATTATATATTTTAGAAGTTTTTTTTATAATAAAAAAGAATCATAAAGAATTTAATCCCAATTTGTTATTGTTTGTGTTTTAAAGTGGCAGTGTCCCTCAGTAATCAGTCATTGGTTTGATAAAGTTTAAACATTTTACTTGAGATTTAGAGAGTTTTTGCAAAGTGAATAAATGTATTCCAGGCAGTATATAAGACTGAACAACTGACATTGATATTTTTTCTTGATGAAGTGAAAGTAGACCTGTTAACTGTCTTCCTGCCTTACTGTGTATGTATGTGATGGCGACCTTGAACCTACAATCTGCTGCTATAAACTGCTAATCTAAACAGCTATAAAATGAAAAATCGATTTTCAATGCTATGATCAACATTGAGTTTCTATATTATGACAAACCCCATATCTTTTGGTGGCTCAACGGCTTAGAAAACCTTGTTGCATGTGTGTGGGGGTGGATTAGATCTGATACATCGTTTTACTCTCCCTGTGTTTTGTCCACTTCCACGCCACTGTTCCTCAATCTTTCAACTTCCTCACGCTCCTCTGTTGTGGAAATGTGTTGCTGAGATACAGATCCAGATGGAGCACAGACATAAACAGCGGGTCGTGGCTCCGTCCTTTGGCTTCTGAAAGCTGCAGCAGGCAGTCCACCAACTCACACACGTGAGACATGGATCGGATTGGGAGCACATGTGGGCCCCCGTATTAACCCTCTCTTACATGTGTATTTGGGGGCCCTCTTTGTGCTGCATAAAAGCCCACAATCACGCCATCTTCCTTTCAGCACAGCTGACAATCTGCGACCCTTCTCCCACTGTCAAAGAGATGACTCAGAGCATCACTCTGTGAGGCTGCGATGTGGCCTCAAATGCTTAGTGACAGACTTGCAAGGGGAGGATGTATCAGGACCCACAGTAAAAGCAAAGTAAAATCTATGAGAGGAAATCACAGTTAAGATGTGTGAATCAAGGTGGATGTTTGAGCGTTATGTCACTCATCACCTCCAGCACCACGTGACAGAAAAATCAAGTGAAAACCAAAGTAAATCCCAAGTTCCGTTTAATTGGGAAAAAAGAGCAGTAGCTGCACTTTACAAAAAAAATGATCCAGTAATTGTTCATTAACATGTTGCTTAACACCTACAGACACTGGGTGAGTGGAAAAAAAAAAAAAAATCCAACACATTAAATCATAGGAAACCATGAAACTGCTAATGAACCAGCCAGTGTCGTTTTAATACATTAAGTCAACAAGCTGTGAGAACGATCAGCTGGCCTACCAAGTGAATTTAGCATGCACAGCACCTAATAATCAAACTCCACTCATAAATCGTTTGAATAAAAAAAGGCTGAAATAAAACAGCATCTGAAGATGTGAAAGTGAAAAAAAAGATTTTCTTTAAGTTTGTTCAATTGCGTCTGTGATTTCCTCTGTTTATTTAGCAGTGAAGATGCTCACTGTGAATAAAATTGTTTGAGCTGTCTGTGAGGCATCAGCTCCTGCTGTTAAAAGGTACCAGAAACACATATAAACAATAACGACTAAACATTCTCACCCAAAAAAAAAAATAAAGATAGATGCATGCTTTGGGTTTGTGGCAAAAAATGCTAAAACAGGCTGTGTGCATGTGGTACAACTTCCAAAACTTCTTCAAGGTAATTTGTGACACTTCAGTATATAAATAAAACTTCACATGCTTCTCTTTACATCATGGGTTTCTGCTCCCCGTCTTCCGCCTGATTTTTGGTCTTTTTAGCTGAGCGCTTGACCGCTATGATGAAGAGGATAACTGAAACAAATAATAAATATGTAGTTAGCTGAAGCAGGAGCCTCAATGTGAACATGAAAATAAAAAGTTGTTAGCATAAATCAAGGTTAAATTTCCTTTTTTTAATCTCCTTATAAGTCAATTCACCACATTAGCATGATATCTGTGGGTAAAACATCTAAAAAAGGAAAAATTGGGGAAGGTTTCTAGCCAACCCAGTGGTCAAGTACAGTAGTGGTGACATCATGTTGTGGGGAATTGTGTTTTACAAAGTCAATTAACATGCGGAGAGGATGATCTGTGCAAATACAGCACCAGAAAAAGTATACTACCTTTGACTACAACGGGTAATTAAGATAATTACTTATCCCCAAAAAAGTCCACAGTTAGAACCAGACAGTCAATCTGCTTGTTAGTGTGTCTGACTTACTGCTGAATCCCAGAATGCCTATGAAGATCCCGACAGTGAGTCCCATCTGAGGTTTAAAGTCCAATCCATGTGGTGCGACGTAGCAGTAGCCCATGGATGTGCAGTTGCAAATTTTTACTACAAAGCAGATAAAAGTTATGACTTGATACGCCATTTGCCAAATTTGGCCATTTTTGGTTGCTAAGGTGACACCAACTGGTCAAAAATGTTTAATTATTAACCCAACTATCTGTTTTTTGTGCAAAATACAAACTATGAAGGGTGTGCAGTAAACAAATAAAGCAAGACCTGAAATAATGCAAATTAACTATTACAAGTATTTATTAAAGTCAAGACTAATGACACTTTTAGCTAATTTTGTAATATCAGGGTTATTAAAATTCTTCACAAGTAGCATCTGTAGCACCCATTTAAAAAGTTTAAAGCAGTATCTTCTGGTAGCTTTCCTAAGGAATCCTATTCCCGTGCTAAAGCCTGTAACTAAGTAAGATTTTCAGGTTTAAAAACTGAGGCAATGATACAACTTTTAACAATAAAGTAAGACTAAAACTATTTACATTCCGATATAACTTCCAAATCATTTTAGAGGAATTATATTTTTTTTCTTTCAAGGTAGTGATGTAGAAGAACAGATGGATGTTTGACCAAAAATGGTGCAGCGCATTTAGGTGTATCAGGGTGAGACAAAAGTCTTCAGGGTTTGCTATTAAAGCTTGTTAACGGTTAAAGCTTAAAGTTAACCATCATAGAAGGTATTTGAAAACTATCCTCAGTGTTGATGAATGTCTACTGTTACAGATCTGTTACAATACTGTGCAGATAACAGGAAGGCTGACTGGAGAACAGTAATATTTTATACAGATTAGTTTACCATGCATCTGTCAGGGAATATCCTGGGCTTTGACACTTTAAAGTTAGACATATGCAAAGGGTCTATTTTTTCTTAACACACAGGGTTTACCATGCTAACCATGCTAACAACTAATTTAAATCATGTTAAAACCTTGAGCTGTGATGTGAACTCTGTAACTGACAGAAAATAACTGAATGACTGGAAGGTAATAAAAATATTATAAATGCTGTTTTTATATGGAGTTCTTTAGGATACATTTTCAGATAAATTATTCTGTAAAAACTATTGGAAAGAACATTTCTTTGTAAAGTAGAACATTTTTATGTACTCTGTATTTCAGCTGATTCTTTTTAAATAATATCCCCTACGAGGCTTTAGCTGATAACATCCAGTAGAACACAAATCTATAATTTTATTCTATACGTCTAAAATTGTAGGCATGCACTGCTTAATTTCCTGTCATTATAAGTTAGAAGGACTGGGCAGAAAATTAGCTCATCACAAGAAAAATGTTATGGAATGAGAGTTGGTTTGAACCTTAGATAACTTACCCTCAAAGAGCTGTGGAACTCCCATGCCTGCTTTGTCTTTAACGGTGATCTTAAGAGAGTATGTTCCTTCTCTGAGGGGTTTTTTGACCAACTGCAGTTCAGCTGATGATTCTGCACAAGAAAAAGACCCAGATAAGGAAGGAAAAACACCTGAATCTGATATCAGAACAGCATGATCATTTTTGTGATCCTGTAAGATCTCCGTACTGCATTTGATACCCTTAATCATAATATTCTTTTAGAAAGACTTAATATCTTGTAGGATTTAAAGGAACAGCACTGGGCTGGTTTAAATCTTATTTATCCAATAGAATTCAGTTTATTCACGTTAATGATAAATCTTCCTCATGCTCCAGGGTTACATGTGGAGTACCACAGGGATCAGTGCTAGGACCAATTCTCTTTACTATATATATGCTCCCAATTGGTAGAGTTATTAGACAGCATGGGGTTAATTTCCCCTGTTATGCTGATGATACTCAGCAATATCTGTCTATAAATCCAGATGAAGCTAACCCATTACAAAGATCACAGGCATGTCTCGAAGACATAAAAACCTGGATTACTCTTAACTTTCTGCTCCTGAATGCAGACAAAACAGAAGTTATAGTTCTTGATCTAGAGACATTGAAAAAGAAGCTGATTAGCCAGTCACTTCATTTGGGTGGGATTACCGGTAAACTAATCTGAGATGATAAAGTAAAAAGTCTTTGTGTTGTTTTTGATCAGGACCTGTCATTTAAATCCCATATCAAAGAGGTTTCTGGAATTTCCTTATTTCATACGGGGGAATATTGCAAAAATTAGAAATATCCTGTCCAATGGTGATGCTGAGAAACTAGTCCATGCATTTGTTACTTCAAGGCTGGACTATTGTAATTCTTTACTATCAGGAAATCCACAAACTAGCGTTATTGGCTTCCGGTTAAATCAAGAATATAATTTAAAATCCACCTTCTCACATATAAAGCCTTAAATGGCCAAGCTCCATCTTATATCAGAGATCTGATTGTTCCTTATGTTCCTAACAGAGCACTTCACTCATAATCTGTAGGTTTACTAGTGGTTCCTAGAATTTCTAAATGTAGAATAGGAGGCAGATCTTTTAGTTATCAGGCTCCTCTCCTGTGGAATTAACAGCAAGTTTCAATCCGTGAAGCAGACACCCTGTCTACTTTTAAGGGTAGGCTTAAAGGAATAGTACACCCAAAACATGATTAGCCTTCATTTTCTACTCACCCCCATGCTGAACAAAACTCTGGAGTACTTTTTTGATATCTCAAATGCATCTGGAGATCTGGGAGGCTTCTTGCTGTCTGCTGACATTCAAATAATGGAGGTCTATGGCGCCCGAGACAGAAAGGTCCATAAAAGTCCACAAAAACGTGTCAATATTCCTCCATACTGCTCGTCCAATGTAATCCAAGTGTCCTGAGTGGGTAGCATCCAGAATTTACTCGAAACGAAGTCATTTAGAACGTTTTAGAGCCTAAACAGTAGTGTATAGGATTTCCTAATAGCGCCCCCATGCGCGCTCACGATTCTACGGAAGCCGGCAGACCAAACCAGCGCATTCAGCTCGGCAAAGAACTCATGCTCTTCCTCAACACTGAAGTCCTCAGACATTTTTCTTTCGTTGTTTCTTTCTTTGCACAGGTAAACAGCACATTTCTTCTTCTACGCTTGCATTATCGGCAGAGCAGACGCTGAATGTGCACTTTCTTCCGGTTTGGTCTGCCGGCTTCCGTAGAATCGTGAGCGCGCATGGGGGCGCTATTAGGAAATCCTATACACTACTGTTTAGGCTCTAAAACGTTCTAAATGACTTCGTTTCGAGTAAATTCTGGATGCTACCCACTCAGGACACTTGGATTACATTGGACGAGCAGTATGGAGGAATATTGACACGTTTTTGTGGACTTTTATGGACCTTTCTGTCTCGGGCGCCATAGACCTCCATTATTTGAATGTCAGCAGACAGCAAGAAGTCTCCCAGATCTCCAGATGCATTTGAGATATCAAAAAAGTACTCCAGAGTTTTGTTCAGCATGGGGGTGAGTAGAAAATGAAGGCTAATCATGTTTTGGGTGTACTATTCCTTTAAAACTTTCCTTTTCGATAAAGCTTATAGTTAGAGGGGGTCAGGTTGTGCTGAGCTATCTCTATAGTTATGCTGCTATATGCTTAGACTGCTGGAGGACAAAGGGACCCATTTCATCATTCTGCTTCATTCTATCTCTATTCTTCTCTTCTGCAGTATTAGTTCAATATCTGACGTTGTGATCCCTCTGCTTTTTCTCATTATAGTAGCTTCATCTGGTCTGCTTCTGTTTGGCTCTCTCACCGTCCTTGAGAGGAATATTTCAGCTGTGCTGCTGCCATCAACACCTTTGTTTATGGGTGTTGGAGATGTTTGGACTGTTTTTCAGTGTAGTCCTGTTTTTCTGACTGTGACTAACTGTATGCGCTCTCTTTCATCCTCTGACATGGGAGCTTTCCTGGACGGGCCCACCTGTTGAGCTGGTTGACAGTTGCCTTTTGTATTTCTTCTTTTTGTATTTTGTATTTCTATGTCTGCTCATATCTCCTTGAACCCCAGTCGGCCTCAGCAGTTGGCAGCTCACTGAAGGTTTCTTCCTGTTAAAAGGGAGTTTCCCTCTCCACTGTTGCTACAGGCATCCTTGGTGTGAGGGATTACTTTTAGGTCACTGAGTCAAAGCGATCAGCTGCTTTACCTTAGATAGAAAACTTTGAACAAATCTGACTGTATGATCTGGTTGAATTGTTTGTGTAAAGAACCTTGAGATGACATGTGGAGTGAATTGGCGCTATATAAAAAAAACTCAATTGAATTGAATTAATAGGCATACCATCGATTTGCCTCAGCTTCCAATTGGCAGATTTCTTTGTGAAGCTGAAATTGAAAGGACGGGAAAAAGGGTCGCTGTCCCCATCTTCAGCTGTGATGATGACAGGTTTAATGTTCTGCATGCACAGGAAGGTCTTGGTCTCAGTCAGTTTGGGAACATTGTCGTTGACATCCAGTAGCCGCACGTGGACAACGGTTTCCGATGACTTCTCTGGGTTATCTATGGAAACAAATCAGAGTGCCCTAATCTTAACTGTGTTGATTCCAGATTTACTATAAAACAGGACAGAATTAATCTTTAGAGTTTGATTATATATTCAAATATGTATGTAAAAAATCTAGTTCTCCTTAAATTTATAGATATTTTTTCTAGTGTCTTTTTAAACACTTTCAAGTCTAAGATTAACAAAGTTTTGATACCTACAGTAGACTACATTAAATGCAGATTTTTAAAGAACAGTTGATATTCTATCATACTATTAAAGTAGCAATACTTTCTTTTGTACCTAAATAAAAAGAGTTACACAGGCAGCTAAAAATTCTGATCTAATTTATTAAAATGTAATAAAAAGCTTCCTTATTTATAATTGGAAAATAGTTTTTTATGTGTGGGTTCTCAGTAATTAAAGGATGATGGTCAATGAGTCATTTTAGTGCAAGTCACTTTAAAAAAGGATTTATGTTCAGTAATAATGAATCTTATTTTGTGATAATGGACTAAGGGATATAATCTGGTACATTAACAAATTTCTACACAAAATGTTTTTTTTTATATTTATTTAAAATGAATAAATAAAAATTGTTATGTGTCTTATGTGTAGATAAATAGTGATTTGCTATGGGTTCTTCTTCCCTTACCTTTCTCAAAAGCAGTGACAGTGAGATCAAAGGTCTCCACTTTCTCTCTGTCCAGCTTTTCTTTGGTCCTGATCTCTCCGGAGGCAGCGTCAATCTCTAGCCAGCCCTGAGCATCGCCATCCAGCTTGAACCTGCAAGCAAACACACAACCATCAGCTCAACGGTGACAAAACGTGTGACCTGTGGAACAACGCTGCACAAAAACAATCAGTATAACTCTTTCTGCACACTTAATGGTTTCAACAGATAAACTAGCAAACAGCCTTGTCCATGCGAATCGAGGGATAGAAAGAAGCAGGGTATGTAACAGACTAACAGTGGCTGTTAAACGAGCATGATGAAGTCAGAAAACACTTTATCCATCAGTCAAATAAAAGCTTAACATACTTTATCTCAAACTGAAATTATTGTTCACTAATTGTTTTTCTTTTATGTGCCTATTAAACACCGAGCAAAGCCATTCTCCGAAAAATGTATTTCCAAAGTACTTGAATGAAGATTTTTTTTTTCTTTCTTTACGCTTCTAAAAACTAGAAAAACAGGATTTAACTTTACAAGAATACTATCAATTTCAGTCTGGCATTGTTTAGGTAAATAAGAAGCTTTTTTATAAAAAGCCAGGATCAGCAACATTACAAAATGAAATAAAAAAAACCACACTTGATTATTTGAATTTATCAAGATGTCTATGCAGATCCTTTGCTTGATGATCAACTAAAATCTACTCATTGAACCTTTAGTTGTTCTTTTTTAAAACTACCAATAAAGTTAAAATCTTTTTAGAAGAATGGTTGCAGTTGTCCTTATTCATAAATTTTGACAAATTTTTAGAAGTTCAAGTTCAAATCTCATCTATGAGTCTGCAGCAGTTGCCATGATGTAAATATGCTGTGTAACAGTTGATAACAGATATATAAAACTTTAATACAATAAGACAAGGAAATATATTATTACATCATGTTTTCTCAGACGCATTCTGATTTGAAACCTATTGAAATATACCAACCACCCCATGTAAAAAAAATCCTTTGATTCAGATAAAAAAGGAAGTGACACATGTTAGTGGGAGAATTCCATTAGACTCACTTAAGGTTGCAAAGAAACTAGAAAAGCACCAAGATGAAGGCAACCTATACAATCCTTTGCATTTAAAATATAAATGGTCCTTTGTCTGCTGACATGGCTGAAACATCATAATAGCAAAAACAGATCTGAGTGAACAAGCTGGGCTCTCTTTACCCGATCTCCTTCCCCTCTGGGTCCTTTGCCTTCACTGCATACAGCACTGATCCCTTAGTAAAGTTTTCAGGAACTGCCACGTCCAGGACGTCGAGGCTGAACTCTGGGGCTTCGTCCACATCTGTGATGGACAGGGTCAGGGTGGCTGTGGAGTCGCTGCCGTAATGCAGACCCTCCATCAGGGGCTCTTTGTTGCGCGCATCAATCTGGAGGTTGTAGGTATGAAGGGACTCAAAGTCCAGGGGCTGTGGAGCAAGAAAACAGTATGATTTAATAAGAAAATCACTTATTGATACTCTAGTTTCTCACTATAGGACCTTTAAATGGAAGGTTTTAATCTATGGCGTACAAAATCAGTCATGAAAAATAACACTAATAGATATAATAAATGTGCATGTATTATGTTTGAAAAACTGTTTATGTATTTTTTTTTTTTTTTGCAAATGTCTGACATTAAGCCACACAGTTGCACATCACTGACATTGTTACTTTTAATTACAGCACAGCTGTAAAATTGCTCTTATTTTTAGCTTATTTTTGTTTTCATACTTTATTTTTTTACCCTGATGTGTATCTGCAGGCTTCCATCTGCCATTTATTTAACTACTGTTAATTCTGAAATTCCCCACAATTTTAGTATTATTCTATTTGATTCTGTTTTCTAGCAGCAACATCTGCATATTAGGGTTTTTTTTATTTGTGTTTAAAACATTTTTTTTTTTTTTTCAAATAAATTCTGCAAATGTTGAATCAAAAAGTTGAAACATCCAAATTTGAATAAGTGTGTCTCTTCAGGGAAAAGTCCAGCATCTGTAAGTTCACAATTTGCACATTTATTAACACCTTCAACAATAACTTATAAATGTTACTACAATATTTTCATTCTAAATGTTAACTTTACTTATCCAGTGTGGTATATATATTAGATGTATATGACGTCCTGCTTCCTGGGTTGGGATTATTATCTCAGCTACTTTGAAAATCAGAGAGCAAGTAAGCAGCATACGTAAGAGAGTAGTTCAGTTTATTCATGTACATGTACAGAATGAATACGCCTTTTTCTGAAACACGCAGAACTTGGAGTGCAGAACTACGGCAGACTTCTATGTATTTTATTTGTCCACCGTTCTTTTTCCAATTTTAGTTTCTGTTGTTTGACTCTCAAATGAACAAAGTAACAACTTTAACCTGATATACAGTAAGTATCGTTTTTGTTTACCGTTACATCCACGCAGTTAAAGCAGCTATATGTTAGCATATACCTAATTCATAAACTAGCTAATCGATGCAAGAGAAGAACTGCCGATCTGAACTTGTCCAGATCTACAATCAGTGCAGTGATTCAAATATTTAAAACATCCTAAACTAACAAACTAACTATATATTTAAATGAATTTATTGTTAATGAACAGGAAAGAAAGAAATGTACGGAGCCCCTAAAGGGACATGGAGGGAAAAAAATAACATTTGCGAGATCCCGCAATACTTTTGCGAGATCCCACAATAGTTTTGCGAGATTTCGCAAAAGTTTATTTTTTCCTCCATGTCCCTTTAGGGGACCTGTAGGATTGCATACTGACATCGTCTCTCTTCATTCATGTAATATCATCTTTTGGAACTTCTCTAGAAATTAAGAACCTCTCCAAATCGTCCCCCATGGTTGTAGCTGACACATGGGCGTATTATCATCCTATAGCAGTACACTTTGCGCCTCCACTGTTGTGTGTCTGTTTTACTTCTGGTTCGCTGACATGGGAAAACCTTTATTGTTTCATTATCATTACTCACTCATTCTTTATTTTCCTCATCAGTGATTTCCATTTTGAAATCTGCCCCTACTATGCCTTCCATAGAATTGTAATGTTGTTATTGCCTTACTTGTTTGTACTTACTTGATTTAAATAAAGTTCATAAAAATAAAATAAAAAAAAAGACATGGGAAAACCTTTTGCGACATTTCGCAAAACGTTTTGCGAGATCTCGCAAAACTATTGCGGGATCTCTCAAAAGTTTATTTTTAATTTTAAAGTTTAATTTTTCCTCCATGTCCCTTTAAGGGCTCCGTAGAAAAGTACAAAAAAAGAAAAGAAAAGAAAAAAAAACTCAGTGGTATAGACCTGCACATAAAAGGGGCATCTTAATGCCCCTAGTCTCCATAGCAACACCAACATCTCGTTTTGGAGTGATGCAATAAAAGAAAACCTTCTTTGCCCAAGTAATACAAACATAAACATGTACTTTGCTAAACTCTGCTGGGACCATTGGCTTTGTCCAACTAACGCCAATTTACTTTAAAATTATTTAGAAGTTGCAGATATCTTTAAAGAGACATTATGTACGTTTTTACTGAGACAAAATATCATCAAGTACCAGTGCAAGCTCCAAGAATGAGCAGAAGAGTGCAGCAGTTATTTGTTTTGGCCACAGGCAGTATCATTAGAAAACTCACTCATGCCTTTTAAGGTTCAGTCATATTAAGATAGACTTACAGTTTTCATCTGTTAGATCAGGAGTTTGACAACCTTTGCTTTGTGGCTCACTTTATATACTAAATAGGGCTCACTTGCTCTGCTTTATTTTTTTATGCATTTGTTATTTCTTCGTTTTGTGTTATGTGATATTTTACCTTTGCAATGACAACATAACCGACTCCTTGGCCATCAGTTTGCACATCAAATACATCTCCGTCGTTTCCTTTGGAGATGTTGAACAGGATGTAGGAGCTGCCGGAATCTGGCTCGTCTGCGTCAGTGGCTCTGATGGTCATCACCGTTTTGCCCACCTCAGCGTCCTCAGTTAGAGAGTGGTTACCGTACTTTACACAGACACACACATGGTGAGAACAACATCCAAACAACTCAGCAGAACCCAAAACCAGTGATTCCCGGACTCACGTGGGTCTTTTCAAAAAGAGGGAGCTCGTTGTTCACGTCGATCACATTGATGGTCACCTTGCAGTTTGTGGTGAAATCTGTGAGTAGGAATTCAAACAGGGGTGAACATCTACAAAAGTCTGACCAAATATGTTTGTTTACAGTCATTGTTTGTTACCTGCATCACTGACACTGACTTCCAGGTTGTAAACTTTCCCCTCTCTTCTCTGAAGTAAGCGCAGGGCCTGGATATCTCCAGAGTTTTCGTCGATAGAGAAGGTGCTAAGGATGGATGGATCTTCTGTCCTGAGGGTGTAAGTCAGCTTAGAATTCAAAGTTCCTTCTTTATCGTCATCACGGGCAGATACCCGTCCAATGAAGCTGCCTGAAATACAAATACATTTACAGTAATTCAGAAACCATGCAAAGAAAGCCATTTCATCACAGCTCCCACAACTTAGAAATAATTTTGACCTTCAGATTTTCCCAAAATGACATAACAATTTATTAAACTACTTGAGCAATCATAATTATATTATGTTTATATAGACCAAATATAATGAGATAATGAAGACAAATCTAAATGGGAATGGTTCTTAGCTAAGTTATTTAAGAGCTCCTAACACTACAACTAAGGAGCAAATCCCAGTTCTGTAAAGGTAACCTAATACAACGATTTTCCCTCCACCCAACTTGCCGTCACAAAAAGGATCAACACACAGATTCATATATTAGATTTATTAAAAAGAAAAGTCCCAAAAATGACGTCAACCTTTCAAGAGTCCTCAAGAGTTTAATTAAAAGCCCATAACTTCATGTTAGGTTTCATCTGAGCATCACATATTCTGTTTTTGTAAAATCCCTGTTTTCCCACAATTTGAAATTGTTAATTTTCTTCAACTATTTCTAACATTTAGCAATGTTTTGTTTTAGAGTATTGACTGATATGAATATTGGCGGAAGGTATCAGAATTAATGATTCATATACTTTAATTACTCATTTTTTAGTGTGGATTGCTAAAAAAAGAGGCTCGATCCAGTGATGTTAATCAACCAGAAAATAATAGTCGAAAACAATTCGTTCTTAGCTTACCACTGACATCAACTAGAAACGTAAGCAGAGTGTTTGCTTATATTGTTGATATATTCTGATATTTGATTTTTGGCTGATATTGAACCAATTTCTGATATTAATGTCAGATCGGGATGGTTTTTGTTACACTACTTCTGATTGATCTTATGAAACTAAAACCTTTGTATCATCTGTACAATCTATGGTTGTGGGATGTGATTGATAAAATATCATAAAACTTGAGATAAAACCAAAATTTTTATGTTTAACAGGTAAACCTAAGGTTTTTCAACCATACTTCAGTTTATGGATATACTAACATGAAAACAGCATAGTATAGCTCTATACAATTCCCTTTTAACAGCTGATTGGTTCTTTTTTTCCAATTTCATCTTACAGAATAACTGTCTCATTGCATTTTGAAATATTTGTGAAATAATTCGTTATGGTTTCAATTTTTACTGTACAGAAACCTAGTTGGAGCAATAATGAGATAAAGAGGAGCTGTTTCAAGTGCCCCACATATAGAAATGCTTGCATACAGCTCACTGCCTACCTATCGGCTCGTTCTCCTGCACCTCCAGTAAAGTATCCCCCTCTGAACACATTGGCTGGTTGTCATTCTTATCCAACACCAAAACAGGAATCTCCATGGGTGGATCCACAGTTTTGTCACTGTTGTCTTTTGCAAACACAACTAAGATGTACTGTAATAAGAAGAGACAGCGTGATGCATGTGTGTTTGTTCTCATGTAGGAATTTATCGACAAAAAGCAGCTCTTTTATCTACCATCTCTTTGTCTTCTCTATCCAGCTCCTCTGTCACCAGTATCTCTCCATTTTCTGTGATCTGGAAGGGGAAGCGCAGCTCTCGCTCCTTCTGCACTAATGTGTAGATGGCATTGGGATCATTAGACTGGACCTGGATGCAAAAACAAAGCAGAAGCTCTCTTGTTATGAGGGTCAGAAGCTGTGTTTAAAGTAGGTGCTGAGTTTGAACTAGTTTTGTTATAACTGACCTTTGCAATGACATGGGGATAATCTACTTTTAAATTCTCCGCAATAGTTATTTGCCCGGGGTTGCGCCACAGGTTGGGCAGCACAGCAATGTGAACTCTGGCAGTTCCACTCAGAGCTGTCTCTGTGGCTCCGCCCATGTCCTCCACACGGATAAATAGGGTGTAGTCGGGGTCCTCCAGCGGGTCCAAATTACGCCTCTTAATCTCTATCATAGAGAAGCAGAGAATGAGTTCCAATCTAAAGAAATAATGCATATCTTAAGGTGGGCGAAAACATGTGGAGCTAATCTGTATATAAATATTAATAAAACAAAAGCAAAATGCATTAAAGAACCCGGTGTTAGATGAATCATCAGAGGTGGGTAAAGTGCCACCTCTGATCTGTGGGTAAAAAAAAACATTGAACTCAATGTTTAGTAAAGATATATATATATATATATATATATATATAATTTTGCAAATTGATTAATCTCTCAATATTTTTTTTTGATTAATCGATTAATAATCAGATAGCAAAAGGTGAAACTAAAACTCTTCCACTCGGCGAGTTCTGGATAGAGCATATTGACAGACGAAAGCATTTTATTATTTATTCATCTTAAGTGCAAAATGTTTACATATCTTTTTACAATCTTGGTATAAATACTGCTCTAATTGGGTTGCTCTGTCAGCTAAAAGCATATTTTAGAGTCTCTATACTCCAGTTAATGATAAGTTGATTTCTAAATAAGTTGATGATTATATTAATAATCCAATAAATCTAATTAATTGTTTCAGCCCTATACTGAACAGCTCAGTTTATAGTGGATAATGTCGCCAGAATTTTTACTCAAGCAGGATACTTCAAAAGAATATCGCTCAAGTAAATGGAACTAAGTAAATGTAACTCGTTACTATCCTCCAGTTAGGATGCATTTAATGAATAGTTGAAACAGATTTTTCAGATATAGCTATGGGGAAAACTGACTCTCTGGTCAACTGATTGCTATATCTGGATTCAGGAAACAAACCTTGTCTCTCCACACAGGTGAAGAATGGGTTTTCCTCATATGGGATGTCCTGCACCGTGCAATAGTCGTTGAACTTTGCCTTTAGGGAATCAATGCTCTGATCTTCTCCTCTGGCATATTGGATTCCTTCACTGGCCTTCAGCATCTCTTCTCCTGTACAGAAAGAAACACAGAATGAATCTACTGCAATGCATGGCTGCAAAGCTGTTCCCTTTGTGGCATATTTCAATCTAAGAGTCAGCATCACGCGACAGATTTAGGCAATCTGCCTCCAATCAGCAAAAAAATTTTAGCGGACAAGATTATCTGTGTAATCTGGATTTACACTGGCACTATTCTGAGGGATTACAGGCAGAGAGAGACAGACTTTCCCACAGAAAAGCTGCCTGTTATGCAGCTTAGCCCGGCCATTCCTCTGAGTGAGGATGATTCTGTCTTACCCTCTGGTGTGGTGGAAATGTCTCCAGTGTCTGGGTCGATCTGAAACAAGAAGGTGTTTTTGTGGCTGGGGATCTGGCTGACCAGGCTGTAGCGCAGCTGAGCGTTCGGAGTCTCTGGGTCGTCACGGTCAGAAGCAAAAACCCGGATGAAGGGGAAGACTGAGATGACAAACAGAACCAGAGTTATTGTTTGTTTGTACTACAGAGAAAAGTAAAGGGTCAGGGCCTTTGCAAAATGTAGCTAGAGAGATATTGCCAGATGTTTTCATCTTAAAATGCTTCATAATCTATAGGAAGCATTTCCCATAGATCTTTATTTCACATTCATTTTTGAATGATTTGAAACAGACACTTAATGACTATTTTATATATCCCAGACATCCAGCTGTATAGCCAATCAATGTTTTTCACTTCATTGCACATTTCTTCTTCACAGATGGGTAATTTTCACCTGAAATCCTAGAATATAAATGGCATATCTGGTATATTTAAATTTTTTGCAACCAAACACATATTCTTGTATAGGGAAATGTTAAAAGATCCACAAAATTGCACAGTCTTATGAGACCATCGTGAAATTTCATTGAGACATTGAGCTCAAAATGTCATAAATAGGACACGGAAATAAATATTGACACTCTTACCACTAAAGTTCTTAATAAATTGGTGTATCTCTGTAACCTGATGCACAAAAATAAAATCCTCTGCAATCAACAGCCTTCATAAGCTCCCTAACTTGTAGAATGAGTCCACCTGTGTGTAAGTCATCGTCTGAAGGTGGAAAATGTGGTGCACAGCATAAGATCTAAAACTGAAGACTTGGACTCAACAGGAAAAGCAGCCATGAGGAGCTGCACAGATTAACAGCTTGTGGGAGACTCTGTGGACAGGACAACTACTAGACCTTAAATCTATAAATATGACCTTCCTATGTCTTTTTTAACACAGCAAACATATGGAAAAAGGTGCTCTAATGATGAGTGACCAAACCTTATCTTCATGGCCAACATATAATTGCTTTACATGTTGTGAAAAACTAATAGTGCAAAGATAATCTTTACACAGACTGGTGTTGGCAGCATCATGATGTGTTAATGCATTCTTCATTAGGAAGCTGGTCATAGTGAGGAGATGGATAAGGCAGAGGTTCATATTGACATATAGATCATTTCTTAGAATGGTCGATAGGAAGACCAGAGTTAAAATTCAACACACCCCAAAAGACTCCAAGCTGTTGTTAAATTGTGCTCCTAAAATGTGTTAACTCAGTGTATCAAGACAGAACGTATTTCCATGTATTTCTATTCAGTTTGTAATTATGAAGGCCTTTCACTAAACTTCCCAGTTTATAAGGGGAGTTTTATTGGGAAAAGAATGCAAATGGTGGTTTACATTCTGTTTATCTGCAGAATTTGTCCCATATAATATGAATGTTTTTAATTAGGTGAATCAATTAACCTGGTAAACTGAAACTGAAATTTAAAGTGTAATCTATGTTGGAAACTATTAAGAAACTATTAAGAATCATAAGTATGCATCAATAACAGCTCCTCAACTGTAACACACATATACCCATTTTATGAAAAAATTAGTCTAAAGGAAAGTTTAGGTTTTGTTGTTTTCTGTGAAGCAGATCCACATGAGACTCACCTGGTGATCTGTTTTCCAGAATCGTAGCCGTGTAAATGCTCTGGTTGAAACGTGGAGCGTTGTTGTTTACGTCCAAAACATTTATGGACACAAGTATTGGCCCATCCACTAGATCTTCATCTGCCACCGCCTCCACCTGGATTTATAAACCAGATACAAGCGCACGCAGAGTGCTTCGATTGAACATGTGCTGCATTTCTACCCCAAATCAGGTTTTCAACATCTGTGTAAAAGGAAGGGTCTATATTACATTGAATGCGTAGTGGGTTGCTTGAGACCAGTCCAGAGGTTTCTCCAGGTAAAGCCAGCCATCCTTTGACATTCTAAAAATGTCTGTGCCTTCTCCATTCAGCTTGAAACTATTAGCGCCTTCAGGTACCAGAAACTATAGAGCGAAAGATGGGAAAGAAAACAAAGATTTTAATGCAACATAAATAAAAAAATACTTTGTAGTTAATGAAGGCATATTATTATTTGTTCACATGTTATTTAAAGTACAATTTCACTGCTGTTTTTCCTGCTTTAGTCAGGTAAATATAAATCCAGAGGGATTTACCTGTTTTAGTGTCATTCAACTTATTGTATTAGCTTCAAAACACATCAAACCTAAACTCTGACCATTTGTGTCACTACATTCAAAATAGGTCAGTTAACTTGATTTTATTTATTTTTGATTTTGGGGGATTTAGTAATAAAATGTTTCTTCATTTCAAATCTTTTTTCAACACAGATACAGCCATGAGAAAAATCAAACAACAATAATGATATTTATTTTATTGTAGCAGTATGAACTGAATGCAGTGGGTTTGGAAAGATCCATCCAGTTATACAAAAACAGATTTAATTGGACAAAAAAATCCCATGTTAAAGGTAATGTGTCTATTAACAAAATCAGTGCCACAATAAATGGTCCAGTCATTAATTACATTGAACTTTTTGAAACAAAGCTTATACATAGCGTTAAATGAGTGATTTACAGAACTTTTTGAAACAAAGCTTATACATAGCGTTAAATTAGTGATTTACAGTCATCTGTTTCCATGGGGTATAAATATTAGGTTAAACAGTATAATTTGTTTGAGGAGGTGGTGAAAAATGTAAAAAAAAAAAATGTATCGGCTATAAAAAAAAACAAAAAAAAAAAACAGATGTGTTCTGAAATGCATACGTTTTAATGATAGTAGGGCTGGAGCTATTGAATATATTTTTCAATTAATCTATAAAGAAATACTTTAGTAAATTAACACTTCTAAATAAACAAACATGTGGAATAAAAAATATCCAATGCAAAGTATGCAAAGCGTGATAACCAAAGGTCTCCTAAACATCATTGGAGCCATACTACATGCAAACTGGTCATTTGGCCATTTTCTATCCTACTACCAACAATGCAAATGTGTAGTTTGCATTAAACTCTACCTAGACTAATATGGGAGTTCTGATAACAAACACTCTATAGAGTTTGGTGTGGAACAAGAATTAGTCTATTGTTAACTAAGGTGGATGACCTTTTTTTAAGCAACCTTTGTGACCTTGCTCAAGTTAGAGTACAAGGAAACTTCATCTAGAGAGATCGTAATAACAGGATTGAGAAAAGGTCACTCATTCTGCATACCCTGCTTATGTGATTTTAATTCATTTTTAAAATCATTGAACATATCTTAGTGGTCTAAAGTTTGTTTTATGAGTTTAATCTGTATCTGGAGTGTCAGACGATCTGAGAAACCTCAAGTGGTTGATTGGCAAACTATAGGCTTTGGTTTTCATCCACTCCACAAAGCCTCGAACTCAACCCTTCTTAGATTTTAAATTGAAAAAACTTCTTGGGTTGAAAGTGAAACGTCTTCGAAATTGGAAACAAATTTCAGTGGATTGTTTTTTAACTTTTTTGGAATGACTATGACCTGGATGACTAAGAATCTTCAGCAGCATTTTGCAAACTATAGTTCCTTTAAGAAACACTTTTGTTTAGTAAAGTATCTTCATGATTCATTCTTCATTACCAGTCTTCTTGTTGACCCGTTCCTCAACTAACCACATACAGTATATATAAGTCCTCCACGTTTAAAATAGTCTATTTAGATGTTTGTGGATGAATCTCTTCAAATAAAAAAAATATCCTTTTAATTTCAGTGTCTGTGACTATGGTTTCAATAATTTTATAAGAATTACATTTCTTGATATTTACACTATTACCGCTCCTCCTTTCCATGTGTGTTGTACCTGATATACTGGATAGGGCACTGGCGTTGCCTCTGTCACGTCTAACTGAACATCCACAAACGGGCCCTTCTTCTCCTCCAGGTCTTTCCCTGCAGCCTGTCAAAGTATGGAAAGACAGGTCAATTATCATCAAATACAGCAGATTAAAGGTACAACTAAAAGTCACACACAGTTCACCTTTGTGCTGTAACAGGAATGTAGTCAGCCATTGAGGGCAGTTATTTATTGAGCCAAAACGAAATGACAGTGGCTGATTTTCTAAGTTCCTCCTGAGAGGCGGAGCCTCTGAAGACAAACTCCAGCGTACAGTCTCCTTTAAAGGTTTCCATTCAAATAGTCTAATATTCGTCTAAGGAAAGACTGCAGTATATTATGAGGATTAACTCCAGATGCTTGCTTTAATAATACAGAGCGAATTGTTTGCTGACACTTTAACAGCTTCGTGGATTTGAGAGTCTGAGATGAATATGCATCTAAAGCCGGCAGCATCAGCAGGTGGTGGTGCTGTGTACTCACAATGCAAAGTAGGGACCCGAGCAACAGCAGATGCACTATGGGTGTCATTTCCACAGCCTGTGAAGGAGGGGGAGGCCGAGGCAAGGTGCGAGAAAGGAGTAAGACAAGAAAAAATGGTTTAAAAGCCAGAAGTGAGGAAATGAGAATGAATGTTTGACAGTTGAAAACATTTAAACACACTGCTTTATCAGACTGTGCATATCTTATATATCTGAAAAAGGCATACTTACATAATCATTTACCCTCTTAAGCAAGTAAAAATAGCTTTAATATATTTGTAGTTGGTGTTTTCAGGCTGTTTTTTACCTAAGCTATGCCCCTTCCATCAGGCTTCATAATAGTAACTGAGGAACTACTAACTTCCAAAATCCTGGTTTAAAAGTCAGAACTAGTCTAATCAAAGATTTTCCATAGATGTGATAAAAATAAAGTTTTGATTGGAATTCAGAAAAAAAAAAAAACTACAAGAAGCAATTTTGTAGGTACAGATTCCATTATGTGTAAGCATTATATTTTGTGGGATGCAGTATGGGTCTTGTAGTTTTTATCTAACACCTGAAATCTTTTATGCAAGTCAGAATCCTTAAGTTAAAATGATTCAAGGTGACAAATGCTGGTGAAGAGTCTCAGTCATCCAGGTCATAGTCATTACAAAAAAGTTAAATAACAATCAACTGGACTTTGTTTCCAAGGTTGAATATGTTTTGTTTCCCATCTAGGAACTGTTTTCAATTCAAAATGTCAGGAATGCCTCAAACTCAACACTATTCCTGACATTTTGAATTGAAAAAGCTTCCTCGATGAGAAGCGGAACGTCTTCAAACTCGGAAACAAAGTCCAGTGGATTGTTTTTTAACTTTTTTGGAAAGATTTAGGGTGACCAATTTTATTTTCTCCCCTCAGCACAATGAGTCACCGGTTACACCAAAAGAAAACGTGTCCTTGAGTCGGCACATGTGCACACAAGCTAAACGGGAGCTTTAAGTGCCAGAGACTCCACCTTCATGAGCTGGTGAATCAGCAACCTGAACGTACAGGAGAAACTGAAAGCCACCAGTTTCCTTCTTTCCAGCTGGTTTTTCATGCTGTCAATCAGATCCTGAAGGGTTTAACTCTGATGGGGTACACAGAGTCTGTCATCCTACTGTCTTTATCCCAGTTAAAGGGCTATAATAAAGTAAACATTTTATGAGTTTTGATAAGTGTAATAAAGACGCATACATGTAGGATTCATCCTATCCAGAAATAGGCAGATTGATAGCATAAAAGTTCAATATAGGCCTCAAGTTCACAGAGGTTGTAGATGACTGTTTAAAGTAATTCAAATAGGAACATAAATGGAAGCTCAATACAAGTTATAAGAAATGTAAATAAAAAAAATCCAAAATTTTTTTACGGAAATGTTCCAACCATGAATGCTATTGTAAAGATCATAGTCTTGGGAATTGCAGCTGAGAGAGTAGAGTAAAGTCAACTCATTAAGTGAAGGTGACATTGAGTCTTGGCTGATGACCTTTTCATTTGCGGGATCTTATTAGCATCAGCACAATCAGGAGAGACTCCTAAACAAAAAACATTTATCCTTTTAGTATATTTCTGCTTTTGAACATTTAATTACATACATAAAGCGCTGTCTGTTGCTTGGTTTACTCAACTGAATGCTTACAACCGTCCTATCATACATTTGAATCAATTTAATAAAAATCAAATGCGGAAATTAGTTACTGCAATGTTGTAACACATTAAAAGGGAAATAGATAATAGCACCATGGCACACAGATTCCAGCTCCTTATGTGAAACCTTTTATCACAATGACTATAAAGTCTCTGTAAGAGTAAAATTAGCCATCTATGATATTTAATGTAGTCCTTGTTTATGTGCAATTACAAAAGTTGAAAAGAAAATCACAAGAGTAAAAAAGTAGAGGTCCCTTTATGCCAACGCCTTTTTCTAGGCCTTGCCAAAGTCAAATCAAGATCACAGTAACATGCAAATAATCCGACGACAGACAACAAACATATCAACAAACTGAGCAAAGAAGAAACAAGCAGCTTTATTTGCTTCTATTTACACCCTTAATATTTTCCTCTTAACTAAACCAAACCCAGAAACAGAGAGTAGGGACAAAGGAGCCAGATGTGACTTACCTTACAGGAGAAACCAAGTGAGTCACACGTCAGAGCGATCTCCTCAGCTTCATCCGGTCTGGTCAAACGTTAACCTGAATGTTAACCATCAATGTTTTATTGGATTTAATGATTGTCCAATCAGCCAATGAGGAGAGAGCTAACTGAGATACAGACACAGGAAGAGCAGAACGACTCACACAGAGCTTTATAAGACAAAACCATTGTCACCAGATATAAGGCTCAGATTTTACAGTTCAACTCAAAAATCTGAAGATCTGTTGTTTTTAATGAATGGGAAACTAAAGCTACTACGTTTATAGAATAATCCCTTAAAATATATTTTAATTTTTTAACATCATAAGATTGATTTTAATGAAAAGAGTAAAGAATTGCCAAAATTGTATATAAAAATAAATGAATTTCTCAAACAAGTCCGATCCGCATTTAGCTTTTTAATTTCCTCTCAGACTTTGCCCCCTGCACCTCGGCCCTCTTTGCTGAGAGATTTTCCATTGGCAGAACAGCTGATAAGGAGCTGTGTGTAGAGACAAAAGGACTATCAGATTACTCTGACAGCCTGTTGCTTCATAAGAATCCACATCTGAGAGGTCGTCTGTACGGTGCAGAAGGTCACAGCGATCAGGCAACTATTAGACAGAAAGTTTCCCCTCATGTGCATGACCTTGGCTGCTCTGAGGTTTCCTGCTTACTCTAAGCATTAAGTGACATGTCCTACAGCAAAGTATTAATCTTTATTGTGTTTGTTATATTCCACGGAGCAGTCCTAATGAGATTTGTTCATAGTATACCCTTGTCCTGAGTATTGTTTTTGATGTTGAGCAATAACCCAAGAACAACCTCAGCTCAGACCCAACCGAGCAGGACACTGTTGGACCATTGGAATCCATGGGGACGTAGGTTTTTCATTAATCAACAAAGAAGCTTCTTCTCTAGATTTAAGGCTACAAAGGATTTTTAAATGGATAAGGATAAGGATAGAGGGTTAGATGGATGTACACATTAAAAGAGGAATATATATCCATTATACCAGTCTTTTATA